CTGTTCTTGACATATTTTTGTTTTGTTGCCTTTTGTGATTGAATGTTAGAATAAAGCAAAATTGTTCTATTGTGAGTGCCTTTAGCGCTCAGAACAAACTCTCTGCAATCTAAATTTGTAATCGACTGTACAACACTTTCACAACAATAGTTCTTCTGTGTTAGGTATACTTTGAGTGGAATTGTTCCTATTTGATTCATATTTGGCTTGAATTGATGATTCAATCACAAAAGTAAGTTCAACGATTTTCCCTTGGAAAATCCCTTGTTTACAGAACTTGATTTGACCTCTACAACAATTCTGTGTTGAATGCAGTACTTTGGGACATCTTGTATTATTCCCTACTGCATCGTACACAACAGCAATATTACGCTTGTATAGGGTCATTCCCTTTTTGTGTGGATGTAGATTGTCTGACAGACTTGCGTCCGTACTTGAATAGTTTCTTTTTGGAACGTAAAAACTCATATTTTGTCATACCCCAACAGGTGGTAGTGGGTGGGGCGGGGCGGGGCGGTGGTGGTGGCGGTCGTGCGGGATCAGAAGATGCTCCAAGAATAATGGCCTTTGCTTTATCAGGAAGCTGTTGCCAATGGCGACGAGCCTCATCATCCAATTGACTTCATTGGCCCTGTGGAAGGCGAAGGCAGCGGCCAGGAGTGAAGGATGAGCGGTAAGCTTGGTATTCCCCAATATCAGTATCAATGTTAAATTCCATAGGGAGGTTGTTGTCCTCAAAGCCGGAACTAACATTGTTGGATATATTAGGACTTTTAAGTACATATTTGGAGAAACGAGAAAATGAGAATACATGTGAACGATAGAGAAATGATGTCAACTGATACGACTAAAAATGAAGACTGATGTGACTAAAAATATCACTCGTGGCGAGTCAGAAAACAGATCATATTTCTATGGAAATCATCCTGTTGATGATGTAAGAAAGCAAGACTCAAGCAAGAACCAAAGTTGGATACTAATCAAAGTACCAACTACAGTGGAAGGTGAACGGATAAGCAGATTGAACTTGCAGCATATCAGGCTGAGGTAGAGAGAATTCTGAGAATTTGCACTGAGCCGGAGAAGAAAGAGTCAAAGTCAGAAGTTGACAGACTGTTCTCACTTTTTTATAGTGTATTGCAAGCAACAAATGAATTGGTTGATAAAGTAGGATCTCTGATAGATCTATATACTTCTATATACTGTAAATTCATATACTTAGAAGGCAACAATACCTGGACAGCTAAATTGCAGTCAATTGAACAGGTAGATTGCAGGCGGCAGTGGATCGCTTACTTCTAACATATCCTATAATAAGTCACTGAATTGAATTGGGGGTCAATATATTCCTACGACTTGAAAGAATAGGAACTTGCTCATGATGAGTGGAAGATTTCAGAATACTGGACATGGATCCAATGGAAGAGATGCTGGACAAAACAGATTGCAGCAAGGCCGAGGCAATGGTCAATACAATGGAAATAAGAGTGGCAATGGTAGCCAAAAAGAGAAGAAGTTTCATCCTCTGACTAGAGGAAACATTCCCGAATTTAGCTTTGATGAAGTAAAGAAGACATTGGTGATCAAAATGTCAACGATGAAGATGGATCATATTGATGACATAATTCAGAGTGTACGAACCTTGAAGTTGTTCAATATTGAAAGTGTGAAACCAACATTGTTCTTGGTAACTGATAAGAACGATCCTGATAAGGAGATAAAGAATGAAGAAAGAAGAACTAAGTATTTGGCTGATTGAAAGGATTGGAAGGCCAGGAAGAATGCGTTTGATAACAATAAACGCAATGTCTATGGAATGATTATGAAGATGTGCACCAATCACATGGTGGACAAGCTTGGGAGAGAAGCTGACTTTGAAAACAAACTGTTCAATGATCCTGTGGAGTTATTGATGCGGATCAAGAAATTTATGACGACTACTGTTGATACAGAATAGGAATATTTTGGTCTGTGAGAGACCATGAGCAATCTGATTATTGCCATCAAAAGGAGAACAAAAACATTGCAAGTTTTTGTAAACAATTTGAAGAAAGGGCAAAGGCATTGCAAGCTTTGCTCGGTGATGATTTTTTTGGACAAATTTACTGAGAAGAGTCAGGAATATGATTTATTGGGAAGCAATGCTGAACAATCGCAACATATCAACAGCATCCACAGCATCAACAGCATCAACAGCAGCAACAGCATCAACAGCAGCAAAAACAGCAAAAACAGCAAAAACAACCACAACCACAACCACAACCACAACCACAACCACAACCACAACAACAACAACAACCACAACCACAACCACAACCACAACCACAACCACAACCACAACCACAACAACAACAACAACAGCAACAACAGCAACAACAGCAACAACAGCAACAACAGCAACAACAGCAACAACAGCAACAACAGCAACAACAGCAACAACAACAACAACAGCAACAACAGCAGCAACAGCAGCAACAGCAGCAGCAACAGCAGCAACAGCAACAGCAACAGCAACAGCAACATGAAGGGGGTTGACCTCCCACTGAACCACAATTGCATCCTCCTGGACCTTGACTTGTCTCAGTGGAACTTGCAATACCTTGCCCACCTCTGCTCACCGATCCACTGCAAGGCCAACACAAAACTAAAAAGAATTGCCCTTTTCTTTGCTTGGGACGGCGACCCTGACTTCCATTGGCCTTGGTGCAATGGATGTATGGAAAACTCCTAGAAATTCATCGCCAACAAACTTCTCAAGATTTGTGCTGGAAACTGGGAACTTGTCAAACAAAGAATTTGGGCTTCACTTGACCAGTCCATCAAAGTCAAATTTGTTGGCAGCAATAGCAAACTCAGTAGAAAGCCTTTCTAGGCCTGGCGGTCCAAGACCCTCTGGTAGTGATTTTTCTGTTGACATAGCCAGTGAAGTCAAATTCATTTTACAATAGATACTTGGATTCTAGTTCAGAGGAAGAATGTCATTGCCTATATTGCAGGAGGAACGCCCACTTGCCAAAGTGTGGGCTATCACCACCAGACTACTAGGCCACCCATGGACAGAACCTGAAACAACGATGGTTGAGTTGGAATTACCAGAGCGCTGAGCTGGGTCTAAAGCTCAAAAACATGAGCGCAATTTTGAGCCATCAATAGAACAAAAATTGGCTCCTGTTGATCCCTAATCACCTGATTGCGGTTTCTTCCCTGACGCTACCCCAGAACCAGTCTGAGTGTTGGAAATGGAGTTCCAGGACAAAGGACAGATGACAAGCCTCCGACTAAGAAGACTGTTTCATATCTTTAAGCAGCAAAGAAGGCTGTGGATTCAATAGTGAAGAAGACCGCTGACTCAGCACTAAATAGATCTGTGGCATTACTATTGCAATTGAAGTAATGCGGTAGAAGTAATGCCTGAATGGAATGAGGTCCAATCCTCATTCTATTCAGAATAGAACAGTTTTCCACATTGAATAACATATCTATAGTATCTCCTACATCTGAGCGACCCTACAGCTACAGAGCTCTTCATTGGAGCCATATGCTGATAGGAAAAATCCTGTGTGTTAGTACGTGTTTTTGTTGTATTCATTACATCATTGACAGTTTTATATGGTCAAAACCGGTGTTGTAGCACCCTTTCACAATCAAAATTGGCTTTGCACATATTAGGAAATATTGCAGTATTCGTATTCAATACTTTCATTTTCAAACTTTTTTTTTAATAGCTTTTGCTTTCATAGCAATTGGGTCCTGATAAACAATGTAAAATGCGTTGTGAAGCGATAGACTTACTAGGAAGATGATAAAGGCAAAGGAAGTTGTAGATGTTCGTAAAAGGAAATCTGAAAGTTGTGATGATGTGCACCATTCATCATTAATCAAGCAGGTCCTACATACAGACCGTGCGTATGTGCTGGTAGCACAATCACCTTTATTTGGGGTCATTTGATTTGCGTGTGGATATTGCTTGCCTGACAGCCTCACGTCAAATGCTGACATCACGATCAAAATCCGATCGTGTGTGTCAAAGCTTTGTACTTGAATAGTTTTTCAAGGAACTTAAAAACTCACATTTCGTCATATCCCAAGACCCTAAGGCATGCTTTCTGGCAAAATTTGCAGCAAAATTTCCAGGTTCTAAACAAGCCTTTAGTGGGTTTGGAAGAGTGGCTGAAGTTGGTGAAAATGGAGCGCTCAGCTTGCCCGCATGCCTTGGCTCCCCAATGCCACAATCACCCCACAACGTTGCAGGAAGAGCCTTGACGGAGTTCTGGAGTTTATTTTATCATGCTGTACAGTAACTACTCTAACGAATCTACTTTTGACCTAGAACTGTTGCATGATCAGGCACATTTGCAGTTACGATACTATAAAAGAACATACATATTCTCCATTCTCTACCCCTTTACATTATTAGTTATATTCTTCCCCCAAACGGCAAAGTTGTTCCGCAATCAAAACAGCTCTGATTTGAAGTGGTTGGTGATCCTGGTACTGTTCATCTTCAACGTATGTGGAGGCAACTGCTCGTACTTTTTCGTCACACCTGAAAGACATATTGCAAAATCTTGCTGAATTGAGCCGCAGGAGTTGTCGCCATTCCAACACATGCCTTGGTCTCATTGTTGCATTGACTCTTGTGCTCTCATCAACGATCCAATGCACCATGGCGTCCACAGTTTTCGTGGTAAGAACCAGAAAAGCTCCAATTCCATTTTGCCATCGTTTCATTGGCTGTTTGCCTCTCATGTCCCCCCTCCTCGTTTGGGCATAAGAACCGGCCAAAAGAACGACACCGCCACCAAAACAGCGGCAGCACCAAACAAAAACACCAAAAACAAAACAATCGCCTTATTTTGCAGACTCATTGGTGCAGTTTGCAAGACACCAGAAGAAGTGGCATATTTGGTATCCACTTGTACTCTATTTTGTGACGAATACTCAGTTTCCACTTGGTGTTCGATGATTCGTTTCTTTTGTCGCATTTGGTCCAGTCTGGATTGTTCTTCTCCATCGTCAAACACCTTGTCTTCAAATGGATCCTCTGGAAAGTCTGACGCATTGGGTGGAAGAGCAAGATTACCGGGAAGCCTCTTCGGCGATGACGTTGGGCAGCCTGGGATGGCACACAAATCCATACCCGAATCCACTACTGCATCCATTTTCTTGTCCTCTTCTAGCTGTTCCTTACGCTGTTCTTCCTCCAATTGTTGGAGCAGTTCTTCCTCTTCTTCTTGCAATTGGAGTTGATGATGTAACTGTTCTTCTAGATCCAAATCAGCTGGTTCCATAAACGATTGTTGTTGCTGTTCTTGTTTCTTGGCATCCGAGAACTGCCTTGTATTGAATGGAAAGGCGGCTGTGTCTTGCAAATCTGATGATTCCAATTTCTCTTCTTGCAAAGAATGCTTTTGCCGTAGTTTGAATTTACGTTCTCGAAATTGTTGCAAGGGCGTCTTTTTTGCTTGCGGCTTTGGAAGCGGCCGTTTAACTTCGACTCCTCCGGGAACGGATGCTGGTTCTTCCGGTCCAGTGGTAGCAGTAAATCTTTCCACCTGGACGTCCGTTGCCAATCCCTGTCGATCGGGTGCACATATGTTGAAAAGACCACCACCACCACCGCTGGTAGCGTGGTTGGTGGTTCCAAGGACTTTACCTCCATTGCCAACATTGGTTTCAAAATGTGAGACTTGAGCATCCGCCTTCATGCCGTGCTCATCCGGTGGACACAATCCAAAACCACCCAGAATGTATGCCATTACATCGTTCGGTCCATTATTGGTAGCCAATTTGTTTTGTCCATAAACTGCTATCATGCGAGTAGCCTTAGCAGTGGCCAAGTAAAACTCGCCATCATCTTGCGTTTCCTCCTCGTCATCATCATCCTCGTCATCTTCATTTTCGTAGGATGAATTCAATTGAGAGTGTTGCTTTTCCTCATCATAATCCTGAGTTGAGTATCTGCCTCTGCGTTCCACCGAATGCACCATTTGATCCAAATAGTCGGCTTCTGAGATTTGATGGTTATGAAAATTGCTTTGCTCTAGAATGGGATACTTGTTTGGATTGTAGAAATTATTGTCGTGGTATTTGCCAGGAGCAGCTTTGCTCCTTGGTGGTTGGCCATAATAGTGATTGGTGGATCGTCGCTGATCTCTGGAAAGCATGGAATCGATCCCATCATTTGCATTGGAATCGTCTTGAACATCAAAGATGGAATCCTGTCCAAATACATAGGACGCATTTCGATTAGCCATTTTGTTGGGTGTTTGAACGTCGTGTACGATCGTGAATGGAGTGATGAATGTACTCTATATTCTAATCCAATCGGGCTCGGTTGATTTGCTACAACTTTTTTGTTTTCATCAGTGCGCGCACCAAGTTGTCATCGCAGAAATCATAGGTACGCGAAGTTACTGTAGGACGAGAAGAATCAATCAGAAGGTGGAGAGCTTTGAGCTTTGCACAGATTCAACATGTCCAACACGACACGTGACTCGTTTCAAAGCTGTTTTGATCATCCATAACGGCCGAAACACTAGGAACGGCCGGTAACGGGGGTCGTAGTGGTCGACCTTTGTCACCACAAGTACAGTACTACCCGTAGGTACAGTGCGCACAGTACGTGTACCTGTATTGTGGGCATTTTCAGGAACACCCGGCAAATGTTCAGACCGAGTATTTTCGGGACACTGATCGCAAAGTTTGACGTGCTCGTGCCCGGAGATATAAAATTATTTTTTTAGCTTCGAAAAATCTATGTTATTTCCCTTTAACTATTAAAGACATATATTATGTGATGATATATATCATATAGGGACTTATGGACACAGATGACCGACTGGTCATTGTGACTTTTTCTGAGTTATAACTCAGATCACAACGGAATCCTGAGTTATAACTCACGGCGTTGAGTTATAACTCAAATGTGTGAGTACGTGTGAGTTATAACTCAAACGTGTGAGTTTTTACTTAAACGTGTGAGTTATAACTCAAACATGTGAGTTATAACTCAAACGTGTGAGTTTTTACTCAAACGTGTGAGTTATAACTCAAACGTACTCAGAAAATATCAGGGGGATGGTGTTCTCCAATGGGGGAAGGGCAGCTTCAAGCGATCCACGAATGAAAAATCATCCGATGCAACACAGACTCCAAAGAAAACCACGAGTATAAAAGTAACGTTCTCGGCTTTGCCATGAAACTTTGAATCGTCGATTGAAGTGCTTTAACAGAACATCCGCCAGTCACAGAAAGACAAGTCTTGTGAAAAACCAACTTTCGACCTTAGCCCATTTTCAATATATGACCATTTTCATCATAACAACCAATCAGAAGTCTTCCTGTGACCCTTTGGGCCCACTGTATAGGGTCAATTGCTTGGTATGTACCTAGGTTCGATCAGTGGCACAAGAATAGGCTATTGGTAGCACTTAGATGCTAAAAAGTGACTTTTGTGCCATTTTGTTTGGTCGTATTAGAGGACGGCGATGGGGATTGGTGAGCTACAAACCTGCGCCTAGCTCAAAAGTGTCCTATTGTTGATATAGATGGGCTGTGGGGACTTTCACACTAGGCTAGAGGGGCATGCCAACTCGAACTGATGCAATGTATTTTCAATGAAATGTTGATCCTGCATCCAACACAAAACACCTCCTTCTAGTATTGCAAGTGGAATGATAGTTATCAACATTATAAGTTCGTCCTCTATTAGTAGCAGTACCGACGGTAGTGTTGCTGAAGAGATTGTACAAAGGCATGGAAGGTATCAGGATGCATCTGCATCGTGCCTTTTTCTTGAACTCTGAGGCCAAAATTCTCCATTGATGCAAATCTGACCTCCTGTATTGCTTCCACCTATGGACACAAATCTATGTTGAAGATGTATTTTGAGATATTTGGAGAATGGAGAACAGGAGATACTCTGCGAATGGAGAACGGGTTAAAGAGTGAATGGAAACTGTAAGAAGGCACTAAAGGGAAAATGCATTACGCAAGATTGAACAATGTCTGTTCGGAGTATTGCTGAGAGCAAATGGCTATCAATGTTAGAAGTAAGCGATCCAGTGCCGCCTGCAATCTACCTGTTTCAATTGACTGCGATTTAGCTGTCCAGGTATTGTTGCCTTCTAAGTATGTGAATTTACAGTATATAGAAGTATATAGATCAATCAAAGATCCTACTTTATCAACCAATTCACTCGTTGCTTGCAATATATTATAAAAAGTGAGAACAGTCTGTCAACTCCTGACTTTGACTCTTTCTTCTCCAGCTCAGTGGAAATTCTTAGAATTCTCTCTACGTCAGCCTGACATGCTGCAAGTTCAATCTGTTTATCCGTTCACATTCCACTGTACTCGGTACTTTGATTAGTATCCAACTTTGGCTCTTGCTTGAGTCTTGCTTTCTTACATCATCAACAGGATGATTTCCATAGAAATATAACTCGTTTTCTGACTCGCCACGCTCGATGTTTTTAGTCGTATCAGTCTTCATTTTTAGTCGTATCATTTGACATCATTTCTCTATCGTTCACATGCATTCTCTTTTTCTCGTTTCTCCAAATATGTACTTCGAAAATCCTAATATATTCAACAAGTCTCAAAGAAACCAATAGCATCATCTAAGGCAGGAGAATCCTTCAGAGTAGTGACTGTTGTATTCCTCTTAGTGAGGATGTCCACTCTATCAAAAGGACTTCGTTCACCTGCAGACCCATCATCC